TTCCCCAGATGTCGCGAGTGGCCCGAAAGTACCTGTGCGTCTGTGCCACAAGCTCACCATCGGAGCGGGTTTTCAGCAACGCAGGTAAAGTTGTCAGTCCACAACGTGCCCTGTTAAAGCCGGACAAAGTAAACATGCAATCTTGACTAGATTTGTTGCCACTTGCCACACAGTTCCCTATTCGCATTGTGTGTGTGTGTGTGTGTGTATTTTTTTTATTTAATTGATTCAGCTATTTTTATTTGGTTTTCGTTAAAAACAATATTAGAAAGAAGACTGGACTGTGTTTTAATTTAGGCCTATTTGCAATAATTTGTTATAATATGGATGTTTATGTTAATTCAACTCTGGTTGACTATTGTGGGTCTATTTGCACTTTTTTATAAGCTGCTCTTTGTTGTTATTAAAAGTTGTTTGGGCTGTGATTTAATTTCATTGATTTGTGTGTGGGAAAACTGTTCTGGATGTTTATGTTAATTTAATTCTGTTCGCACTTTTTTATAAGCTGCTATTTGTTGCTCATAAAAGTTGTTAATATTGTGCATGTTATGTTGTTACTGTTTCAGTATTAGTGTTTGGTATTCAGTTTCTGAACGGTGTAGGCACAAGCCAACAGTTTGGTGACGCCGTCTGAGCCTTACGTCATAATTTTTAATTAGTCACGGTAATGCCGTATACCGTGGTAAAATAGGGAGGAGGTTTGACGGTATCAAAATTTGGATACCGCCCAACTCTAACTAATACTAACACTCTCAGAAACGTCTGAATTCTTTAAAGAGTTTAGAAAGAATCTACGTGGTAGCAATATAGAGAGTCAGTCTGTGGTCCAGTTTATCAAAAAACATATCCTGTCCCGTCTTGACCGGAGCCTATCACAGCACATGTTGGCAAGCATAAATCAGTGTTGGTTAGAAATTAATGTTTAGTAGTCTAGCTGGGTTGTTAACACTATAAGTAAAAGTGAAATTGTGTGTTTGTACAGTTAAGTTATGTAACATACATATTGATACTCTTTACAGGAGATATCAGAAAAAGGTTGGGGCGGCAGTAGCTTAGTCTGTAGGGACTTGGTTTAGGTTTAAGTCCAACATGGACCCCATTTTGTCTTTTCATATTCTTGTTACAGTATCCTCTCTCAAAAAAAAAAAGTACTGTATTTTAGCAGGTATGGATTGTCTGAGAGTAAAGTTATATCCAAATCTGTCCATCTCTACCATGTATAAACAGGCGCACACACACACACACACACACACACCCATACAGTCAGACTGTCTGTCTTCTGAGCTCCACCTGACAGGATGTCCTGTAAAGTGTGTACTTCCCCACATGCGTGTGTCTGTACCTGTAGGGCTTGTCGTAAGTGTTGACTCCAGTGAAGCTCTGGCTCCTAGTGATGGATCTGGAGGTGAGGCGTCTGACTGGGCGAACGGACAGCGACATGGTGGAGAGAGTTCGGGATGGACTCCCTGCACAGAGCAAAGGAGAAGAAGCATCAGTAGACTGCTGACACCACAGCATGTTTCTATCCCACATCTCACACACTCAGTTCCCACCGGGTATTAACATCCGACCTGTACCTGGACATCTTGCCACAATTTAACAGTTTGACAGTGGAGACAGAAAAAAAACATGGGAAGAGACTACCAGGGGTGCCATGTAACAGGGTCCCAGTCAGAACTGAGGCAGGGGCATTGCAATTATGATCTAAACTCCATTCAGAAAGCAAGCATTTTAAAAGTTCTTTGCTTGTCGTCTAGCGTACAGACTCAACAAAGTATGAATTCAGACATTTTCCAAATCATCATCATGATGTAGTTATTTCAGCATCCTTTTGATCTGTTGTTTGGAATTAAATCACAGCAAAATCTGTCTATTTGGGGCTCATACCACCATAGTAAGCCAGATTAAAAGTGAATATTCACTTGTGTTACTTGCGAATAACACAAATGATCCTGTGAGTAAACTTGCAAAAATTCACTGGTTTTCCCTGTGTGTTTTAAGGTCTCAAATAAACTGATATGACTTGAACTTCTCAAACAAAAAAATGAAAAAAAAGAAACTTTACATTAAACCAGAAATGATACAGAACCAGAAAATAAAAATAAAAATAAATAGAAACCACAAACTGTGCTGTGTTCTGATAACTCATTTCCTTCTGGAAGCACTGATAAATGCCATAATGAGTCACGGATCGGTTATCTAATCAGTGTCGACCATGAGAAGCAGGTAATTATCGGTTATTGTATCAGTTGAGGAAATATCCGTATTGTGCACTACTGGATAAAGATTAGAGGTTGTTTTTTTTATGTAACATGGTAAAGTTGCAAGAGGTGGTTGGTGGGCACAGACAGAGTCTAGACATAAGCACTTCTGTTAATGTAAGTTAAGGTGATTTTGTTAGGTTTAGGCAAAAAAAAAGAACTTTGGATAAGTGTAGGCAAAGATTGTGATTTCAGTTAAACGTTCATTAAAAATCTTCTGTCTCTAGTCACTGCTGACTTTTGAATAATGCTGTAGTCACTATGAGTGGATAGTATTGCACCTTTGTCTATTTTGGTGAAAAAACTAATGTAATATGTTTTCAGTGAACATTTTGCAACATTGTGACTTCCCAGGTACGTTAAAACTATATCTATAACTCTAGTAGATATTGAGTCCACACCACAACTATAATGGCAACGACCTTGGCGAACAATATCGTTGTGATAACTGTCATAGCAAGCTGATGAACCAACGCTTATATAATGTAATATTAGTCTGCATATCACAGAAAATTTCATTTTAACTGCTACCAACTGTCTCTATCTCCGAACTCATGAACCCATATCTTTCTGGTTTTATTTTTTTTTCTCTCTGCGCAATGTACAGCAGTAACAGCTCATTAATAACTTTGCTATTTTAAGGAATGGGGGTTTATCGTTCATTAGTGTGGATGCTCACATCGTTATTGTTATAGTACTGGTTATAGTTACTGCACTTTATTTATGCTTTCTCAAATAGTGGGTTGAGACCACTGGGTCCAGTGGGTCATGGACTGGGAATGGGTCTTGGAGTGTGTGGTCAAAAAATTAATCTATTTTAAATACACTTTTTGTATTGGGATTAATGCAGGGATATGCAACACTTTTAACATTAAGAAATACAATTGCCTTTTATAATGTGCCATAGAGGAATAAAAACATCTATTTTCATAAAGAAGTGAGCATTAGACACTGACCCCACTAGAACAGTAACATACACGCACAGTAAGAAAACAACAACTTACTACTTAAAAAAAGAACTGTACATAAACATACTAATTAGGATCTACAATTGCACATTATTGTTGTACATTTACTTCCAAAAAACTCCAAAACAGACTAAACAACAAAAAGAAACTAGAAAGAAACGTAAAAGCTGTAGAAACTGTACCACACCTTACTCCATAATTCCTTTATTAGTTTGGAATATCTGAAGATTTACGATTCTTAATGTACTTGAGAAAGGGACCCCAGACCTTGAACATTGCATTGGATCTTCCTTGGAGAGTCTTATTTTCCCCAGCCTATGAAAATAAAGCACATCTCGAATCCAATGTACAAGAGCACTGAAAGGGTTAGGATCAAGCTTTTGGCCTAGTATTTCAGACACAGTATTAAACCATTGCCCAGAAGTTAAGCAAGGATGGACAGAGCCAGAGCATGTGTACAAGGTTAGCAGGGGCCTGATAACACCTATCACAAATCAGCGAGACATCGTTGAATATCTTGGCTAGGCAAGCCTTGGTAAAATAAGTACTACTTTACGCTGTATCAAACCATGTTTCACACTTATAGAGGAGCTGTAACCCTTTCCAGCATCTCTCCCCAAACCTCACTCAATATTTCCTCCCCCAAATCTGTGTCCCATGATAACTTGATTGATTCAATTGAGTCGATTCTTAAGTTATGAATCTGTGTATGGATTCTACAAATAGCCCCTTTCAGGGATGAATACGGAGTCAAGAAATCATCAAGAGGTGAGCCCTCTGGCAGATTGGGAAAACTGGGGAGCATACTTTGTACAAAGCTACGGGCCTATAAGTGCCTTTACATTTTTTTCTAGGAAGCGAATTAACATTATTAATGTATAAATCTTCTAACGATTTAACACAGACGAAGATTGGAAAAAAATAAGAGTAAATGATCTGCATACAACAAGACCTTTATTTCTACTCCATTCCTGTGTATGCCATAAATGTTAGGGTTGGTTTTAAGTGCAATTAAGAGGGGCTCAATGGCAATGGCAAATAATAAGGGAGTCAGAGGGCAGTCCTTCCTAGTAGATCGATACAAATGAAAATAATCAGAATTTATATTATTATTAGTTCTGACTGATGCTTGAGGAGAAAAGTAGAGCAATTTAACCCATGAAATAAAATTTCCCCCAAAACCAAATTTTGT